CTCATCACTTTCCCGGGACTCAGCTTCCTGGTCCACAAACATTCGAGCAGTGGGCAGGAATGCGATGACTAGAGTGTCTGTTGACTCTGTGACAACTGTCGCTTGTCACAGCCAACGTGGTGCACCCAGCAAGCAGCCGCCGGCCGTGTTTTCGGATAACTTCATAGAGAAAGGAGTCCCTGGGTGATGCAGAACACACATCCTTGGCCGCTACCCAAACAGTTGGAGGTCTGAGTCCCCCTCACGGTGCCCTGGGAGAGAGAACGGCACCCAAGCGAGCGCATTTCTACCCTCCCTACAGGGGTCCCCAGGAGGCAGATTCTACTGGTAGGCAACTGTGTTTTGCGTTGTTTTTAAACTTACGGGAAGACTGACAAGAAATGTGGCAGCGCAGCACCCCAGGTCCGCCAGCACAGCGGCTGAGGCAGATGGCCGAGGATGGGGTGCACGGGATTTGCAGGCCGACCCACGCCTGCTAGATTGTTCTTCGGGATTTCTGAATGCCAAAGGACAGGCCATGTTGCCGTGCCTCTCCATGATGCCTGCAAGCTCGCTCTCTCCTTGTGTAAGCATATAGCACAGAGCCTGAGGAACGAGGACAACAAAGAAATGACCATGACGGTGGCAGGGGGGTTGTGGGAAATGTGGGTGACCAACACCCACCCCACCCCTGCTGAATCTGGGTTGCCCTGGGATGGTCCAGTAGCTGGATGTGCGCATGTGATGCCGAGAGGCACCTGCCTAGGGGAGATGGTGCAGCCCCGCAGTTGGGGCAGCAGAGACTTAGTAAAGGTGGTTTTAAAGCTGGAAGACTAGCCACAGGCTATGCGAACACCTGCCCTCATGGGAAGATTTTCATAGGAGGCAGTGAGGAGAAGGGGAGAGACCAGAAGCTGTTGTCTTTGGACGGAGTAGAAGTTCGGAAGCCAAACCTTGATACAGATAACAATGACATCCAGAAAACCAGGACAGAAAAGGGAAAGCAAGAGTCGGGGCAGCCCAGCCCTTTCGGTTCTTTTCTGCCCATAAGAGAAGTTGCCCACCTGACTACAGCTCCAGAAACTTCAGGACAACCCACCTCCAAGCCCAGGGGGCTGTGGCTTCTGGCCTCTGTAGGTTACGGCTGTGTTTCCTCCCTGGGCGAATGATAGCTGCTCTGCAGTGGCCAGTGTTGTTCTGGACGCCCCACGCAGGTCTCTTGCCCTTGCGTTTCTAGAGTTTCCTTTGGCTAAATACGCTCTGTATTTGACTTCAGATATGAATAAATGAAAAAGAAAGTCTTCAAGTTAGAGGTTAAAAATGAGTGGACGTGCAGAGGTCTCTCTGGGTCTCTTCATGGTCCAGACGCTGCCCTGTGTTGTCGCACCAGAGGAGGAGGTTCTGTTTATTCCTTTGGAGCAGACGGAGTCTGCGGGAAGCCTCGCCCGAGAGGCTCGGGAGCCCCTTGTCCTCTCGGCACACCCGGAATGAAAGGAAGGCGGTGTTGGCCAGCTTTGCAATCAATTGCGAAAGAGCTTTAAATGTCAAGAACAAAGAAGGCTAGGTGAACTCTGTGCTGAGGTACAATTTGTTGTAAATTGGCCCTCCGCCTCCCAATTACAGAATTCTTGGTTCCCAGCTGGTTAGGGACCTTGATTTCCACCCAACTCTTTGTTCCTTGGAACCGCAGCTTCAAGCTGGAGTCGCCACTCACAGGGCATTCCGTTTTAATTCCCACGCCACCACAAGTTCTGAAACTTGAGCGTGATTTTTACCAGGTTTCTTTCTTTCTTTCTTTCTTTTTTTTTTTGGTCTCAGTTCCCTGTTCAGAGAAAAGGAAATAATCTACTACTATCTTGTCGAGTCGTTTGGAGCAGAAACTCATTACCCAAGATGTACCGTGACACGCATCGTCATGGATTGGATGTTAATTTGCATCAGATGGATTATACAAGAGATTGTTCATTCATGCAACTCATAAGTGAACGACCATTCTCCTCCCTTTGTTTTTCTCATGTTCAAGAAGGAAAAGGTACCAGGTTTAGGCCACTTGGAAAATGAATCCTCCTCAGACCAGTGACTGTCCCAACGAGTGGGTGGGCCCAGCATGTGGTGGAAAAGTAATACATCGCCAGAAGCTATTCAATTGCTTCTGCCACTACTTCAGACAGAGACTTTGAAATAATTGTGATCTCTCTATTCAAGAGAATAATTGACAGGTTAGAGAATTTCACCTGAAACTGGAATTCACTGTGATAGATTCTGTGTAAGCTCTAGGTCCAAGCGATACTGCTGAACTTAAGAGCGCAACAGATGGTTTTAACAGCACACTGAGCACAGCAGAAGAAAGAAGCTTGGCGGCCTGGAAGCTAGGACAGTAGGAAACCGTAGACTGAACGATATGCAGTAGAAAGAATGTCAGACACCGAAAAGATCGTCGAAGACTTGTAACTGCTCATGGGGAGATCCGTCATGGGCATCAGAGGAGCACTAGAAGAAGAAGGGAAGCGATAAGGCTGAGCGTTTTCTGAAACTGATGAGTGGCCACAAGCTGGACAAACTGACAGAAAATCATGCTTAGCCACGTCAGAGTACAACTGCTGAAAAGCAGAGAAAAATCTGAAAACTGCTATAAATAAAAGACAAATTACCTGTCTTTTCGGAGAAGCAGAAATACGCGTCAAGCTTACCTACACAAAGCCTCTAGTTATATCATACTTAAATGGTGGAATATTGAGAGCTTTCTCCCTGACAAGGCCCACCAACACTACTACATCTGTGAATCCACAAGCCCATATGGAGCTCCTCGCAGATGCAGTGTGGTCAGGAGAAAGGAGGATGGGAAATTAAAAAGGAAGTCACGAAACTGTCCTGAGCTACAGATAACCTGATTGCATGCATAGAAAATCTTAACAGACCAGCAGGTTACTATTAGTATATAAATGTCTCAAAGTCTCTGGCACTAAGAAGCATATGCGAAAGTCAACTACCACTGATAAATAATTAGAAAATAAACATTCTTAAACCATACCACTTACAATAGATTCAAAAATGTCAAACAAGTATGACTGAATAAAAAAGAAATGCAGACGACCTCTACACAAGAAACTAAACAATAATGATTAACGGGAGACATTATAGGAGCTCCAAACAAAGGAAGGGGTAGCCCATGTTCCTGGATGCAAACATTCAATGTCATCACAACACCACTTCTCCCCAAATGCACCTGTACATGGAAAGCAATCACGAAATTTTAATGCCAGTTGTGTTAGAGAGTGTGTTTGTGTGTGTGTGAGACAGTGCACATCTGTGTGTGCCAACCGGGAAGCTAATTCTAAAACTGATGTAGAAATGCAGAGACAAGAATAGCCATTAAAAAATAAATAAACTCACTGAGTCTGAGTCTACTTGTTGGGTGTGGGTTGCTACCTTCCCTCTAGGCCTGCAGCTCTCCCCGGAGCAGGGACGGTATGTTGTTTCTTGTGTATCCTCTGTTTCCAATACTGTTGTTGGTGATACATTGCCGCTATCTTAAATAAGCTACAAATCTGGTTAAAGATGAAGAAAACAGCAAACGAACAGCCATCTTGACAAACTAAATAATAAACAAAGACAACTACATCCTATAAAGCTACAACGATGAAGAACAAACCAATTCCGATTCAAAATGTCATTTGGCAAATTAGGTGCTGCCGTTTGATTTGGCCATTCTTTCTAACCAGGTCTAGACGGAGACAGATAGCAAATACAGCTGTCCCGGGACTCTGCCTCCTGCACTTCTGTCGTTCGATTCAGAGGTATTAGCTAGTGCTGGCTGAGCTCTCATGTGCTGGGTCACCGAGGAGAGCCTCTAGCTGGTGTCCGTTCCGGGACAGGGTGCAGGGAGAGGTAAGCAGTCCTCCTCCACCTCCTGGAATGCTGTGTCTAACTCTGTGGGAATGTGCCTGCCTCCCTTTGTTGCTTCCTTCCTGCCAGCCCATTGATTCTGACTCTGGCCAGGCTTATTTCTGCCTGCCACGTACATACGTACGTATGCACCTGCAGCCTCAGGGTGCACCTGTTCTCAGAGATGAGTTACCTGCCAAGATTTTGACCTCACGATCTAGTAGAAGTCCAGGCGTCCTTATTGAAGTTCAACCTCATAGGGAAGTACTATTTCTTGGCTTCTTGCCAAAAGGTTATTATTTCAAGTCCACCTGGACTTGGAACAAAAAGGCCTGGTGAGCTACTTCAGAACAATCAGCCACTGAAAGCCCTGTAGCGCACAGTCCACTCTGACACATGCTGGGCCACTGGCAGTTGCCGTGGACTCAGAGGCCCTGCAGGAAACCCATCAGAATTGCGCTAACACAGCTCCTCCCCGCTGCTCCACGTCCTGAAGCATGTAGAGTCGTCTTTGTTTTACTTGTGTCTATCCCTCTTCCATGTTCATTGTCACCTATGAAAGAAATCCTTGCTTCTTATTTCGAGATCTTCATGCTACTTAATAAATGCTGGTACACATGACGTATTCACTGCCGTTGAGTCAATGCGGGCTCTCAGTGACCCTATAGGACCGAGTAGAACTGCCCCTGTGGGTTTCCCAGACTATAAAGCTTTATAGGGGTAGAAAGCTCCGTCTTGCTTCCATGGACGGGCTGGTAGTTTCAAAACTGCTGGCAGCCCAAGGCATATCACTGCACCACCCGGATTCTGACAGAACTTACTGGCAGGAAATGGCTAACTCCTGCCCCGGAGGAAAAGGCTCCTCCAGTGTAAAGTGCCTGTGGACGTGCCTTCGGGCCAGGACTTCTACACAGCTGTCTGTGAGTCCACGTGCTCGCTCATCCCCTGTGGGTCTGTCTGCCATCTGACTCCTTGGCTGACCCCCCTCACTGCCCCCCAAGTGGTAAAGCGCACATTGCTGAGATGCTTTCTGAACGAGACTGGGATGTGCGGAGAGTGCCTCAAATAAAGAAGAACGAACAGGAAACGGAAATGTCATCTTCCTAGTAACCCGAAGCACGTGATTTGCATTGCAGGTCCTTCGGCGGTACTATGGGAACTCGGGCGTTTTCCCATGACAGCATTTTCATCCCTGATGGGGGAGCGGAGACTGAGCAGACAGTTCAAGCAATGTCACAGGACAACATCCTGGGCAAAGTCAAGGCTCTTCAGGTAAGAAGACAGCTTGAGACGGAAGTCGGCTGTACGAGTTGCCTGGCTAAAGGAGGGCAGGCTGGAGGCGAGTGGGAAAGGCCCTCACTTGGACCTGCATGAAGATGGTGAGGTCCGGGGGGCCACTCCGGATGACAGTTTTTGCTCTCTTGAACCTGACTCCGTTCTCTGCACTGTTGCATCCACCTGCATCACACCCCCTCTGCTTTTTTCTCTTGAATCATTCCTTCCATTTTCACTGAAGGCCATGAGAACACGTCCCCAAGAGGCGCCGTGGGCTTTGGATGGGAGGATGGTGTTGCTAACCATAACATGTTGACCATGTTCCCTGAAGACAGCCTTCGCTGTCCCCCACATTCACCTGCCAGGTTTCCCCCACAAGAGTGAATGGCTCCACTCTGAGTTCTGTTGTTTTGGTAAATCCGGCTCCCCCAGAGCCACCTTGTCTTGAAGGACCATGCAAAGCTCTTAAACCTCCCTCCTATTTCGCCCTGCAGAGTGGGGCGGCGTTCCTATGTATAAAGGACCTCAAGTGGTACCGTAACTCCTTTAGGACGAAGGTATAATAAAAGAATTCTTTACAGAATGTGATTGCAATGAAGAAAATCCAAGAAAAGGAAGCAGGCCAAAGACACTTGGGGTCTGACTGGGTAGGCTGGCCTAATGGCTTGGTAGCCTTCACTCACCCTGGAGAAGGAGCCCTAAGCCAGCCTGGCTGGGCGTGTTTAAATGCGATCCAAATTATGAAGCAAAGGCTCTGATTGGCTGGCTTCTATCTGTGTGTAAGTCCACAGTGATGAATGGACAAATGAATTCATAGGGAGGGGAAAAAAAAAAAGGAGCAACTGGCTTGAGAAGCTCCTGATACCCCAAGGCATTATACTCAAGAGTATATCTTGAGATGCTCTGGTTTCATCCGGGCATTCGCTGAGCATTTTGTGATGTACGTTTGGCCACATAGTCTGCACACAAGCAGCTGGATGTAACATGGCATGTGGGAAAACCCCTGGGGATCCCACCCAAGCTTGCCTACGCTCTCCCTCCGCTGCTACCACTTCCCAAGGCCAGGGGCCGGCCCTCAGAGCCAACAGTGGCACTGCCTTCCTCATATGCCGTCATTTCCTAAGCAGGCTCCTTGCTTGGGTCTTGCTGTCTGTGCCACCCCACCGTTTCTAGACTCAGAACTCCAAAGTTCCCTGCCATCGAGTCCATGCCGACTCGTGGTGAACCCTACAGGGCTGGGCAGCACCTTCCCTGTGAGTTGCCGAGACTAACTGCCGAGCAGGAAGCCCGCCTTTCCCCTCTAGACTCAGGAGGAGGAAGCAAGCTATCGCTTCTCATGGGTTGGAGAGGAGGGAAGGTTGGTCAAGGACAAAGAAAACCTTGATGACTTTCTCCCGGCCATTGGTTCTCGAAGCCTCTTGATTCCTGAGGCCTCAGAGTTCTGAACCTTACAACATCGGCTTTCTGTGAGGAATAGCAGGAGCCCAAGTGGCTTAGCAGGTTGGCCCTCGGGCTGCTAATCGCAAGGTCAGCAGTTTGAAACCACGCCATGAGGGGAGAGACAAGAGTCAGAGTCTCGTAAACTCGCGGGGGCAGTTCTGCCTTGCCCTGGAGTGCCGCTGTCGGTCAGCATCCCCTCGAGGGCACTGAGTTCCCTGAGGAGTAACTTGAAGTGCTCCGCCCTGTGGCCGGGTTGTATTGACAATGGCTTCGCGGGCCTCTGTTCCTAAACCAGAGACCACATGCCCCGACTCCGGGAAGCAGACCGGAGATCATAAAAACATAAATGATTCTGCTCTGCTGGAAATAGAGAAACAATCAAAAATATATATGCTGAGACCCCGTTATTTCTATTAGCAGTAAGATACAGGTTTTAAATGGTCTGACCTCATAATTAATGACTTTCCCTGAAGCAGCAATGCAATTAGCGCAGGAAGCAAACTGTGAGCAGAGAAAAGGGAACTGGCCGCCCTCAGTTCCCCAACCCTGGCACTGTCTCTTCATTGGGGTTAGCCTCATCTGGCGGTCCCAATGAATTCACAAGCGTCCTTCCTATCGTTATATATTAAAAAAAACAAAAACGCAAAGACTTTGCTTTTTGAGAAGTGAGACGGGCCCATTATCATAGAAAATGTGATTTTTTTTTTAAAGTGACCTATGCTATAACTGTATCACCCCCAAAAGCCTGTGCTTTATTTTTTCAGTCCACTAAGCAGTATGCTCCTGGTAAGTCCTAGAAATAGTAGCAGCAACTGTATTAACTTGCATGAATGCTTTGCATTTTTTCATGACAAGGTCATGCCAGGGTCGATGCTTCCTAAGCAGCGTAAGAGACGCCTCCTCTTAGGCTCCCGCATGGAATGAGGGGGCTTACTTGCATCCAAGGCATGTATGTTTTGCTTTGTTTTTTAATGTCTGGAATGGTCTTATGTGTGGGTGTGTGTTCATTTAGTGAGAGAGAGAAAAACTGGATAACACTCACTTGGCATTACATGTTCTGGCAAACTGATTAACCACCATTATTAAGATTTTCTTATGAAAGGAAACATCTTCTGGAATGCCACTTAAACAACAACAAAACATTTTTCCAAAAAAACCCCAAAACTCAAAACGTTTCCCGCTGTACCTTAAGACACTTCCCAGCCCAGGAGACTCTTGGAAAGGCGTGTGTGGATAGGTTGCCCTCTAGTGTCCACACGCATATTCCCGCCTCCCTAAAGGCTGCTTGGCGTCTGCGAGGAGAGAAATGAATGGATGCAGCTGGAGCAAAATGTGTCTTCTTTCTGAAGAGCGTGCATCTCCCACCTGCCATCCTGTCTGCGGCGAACGATCACACTTTTCAAAATCAAGATTTCCCCCTATTTTTTGGTGAAAATCTACGCAGCAAAGCCGGCTCCCATTCAGCAGCCTCTGCATGTAATGAGCAGTGGCCAACGTGTTCGGTGTTGGGCTGCTGACCAGCAAGATGAGCCGATTGGAACCACCAGCCGCTCCTTGGGAGAAAGTGAGGCTTTCTACTCCCGGAAGAGTCACAGTCTCAGAAACCCACGGGCGCAGTTCACCCCTGTCCCACGGCCGCAATGAGTCCTAACCAACTTGGTGGTAGTAAGTTAAGTAGAGTTGGTGATATCCCATTGAACTTGATGTTGTTGCTTTTTTTTTTTCCATCTTTTATCATTGGAGTTTGTTGGTTTTTGTTTTTGTTTGTTGTTTTTTTCAGTTTTATTGGCACATAATCCACATCATACCATCTGATCGAACTTTTTGAAAAAAGGGAAAGATGTACTTGCTATTTTGTTTCTGAGCATAGAAACAAAACATGTGCATGATAAAAAACAAAGTTTAACACATGGGGAAGTTGTAAAGACAAAGATAAAGTTCCCCATTGTGAGCCCCAATGGTGATATAGGGTAAGCATTGTCCACAAAGTCAGCAGTTCAAGCCCTGCCACCCCTCCCAGGCTTGGCTCTGCAGGAGAACGTTGAGACTGTCCCTCTGCCTGGAGCTGCAGCCTCAGAAACTGTAGGTAGGGCGGCTACGAGTTGGCATTGACTCAGTGTCAGTAGACTTGGTTTGGTTGATTTGATGCCAGTGCCTCCATGGGAAAGAATAAGGGTTGACAAGGCTGCTGCCACCACCCGGCCATGTGTGGCCTTGAAGGGAGTCATTCAAGGTCTCTGAACCTCGTTCTCTGCGTCTGACGTAGGGAAGGGGGCACGGGGAGGGGTGCATATAAAAATCCTCAGACCCCTTCCAGTTTTTTTTAAATTGGTGGTCTGTACAGAATCACTTGTCACCTGCTGCAGGGCAGAGTAGGAGCCGCAGTAGCACAATGGTTCAGAGCTAGACTGCTGACTGAAAGGTTGATGGTTCAAACCCACCCGTGGGAGAAAGACCTGGTGGCCTGCTCCCATAAAGATTTTTGCCAAGAAACCCCACTGGGGTCAGTGCCACTCTGCCACATGGAGTGGCAGGGAGTCAGGATCGATCTAATGTGCCCAAAAGTGGCACGGTACAAGCCATCTGTAAATTCCACCCTTGTTGGAACTCCCTGCCACCAAGTTGATGGTGACTCATCGCAACCCTATGCATAACCTCGTCACCTAGGGCTGCCTGGAGCCAAGGGTCAGGGAGGGAGGCTGTGGATTTGCCATCAGGCTGGAGGCTGGGAGGTGGGTACTGCCTGATGAAAGCCCGCAGGGTGTAGCGCAGTCTCAGCCTGCAGGCAATGGTTAGAATGATGCTTCCTTTCTTTGTGTTGTGCATGGTTGGCTCACAAGGGAAGACCCCCCTCCTCTGCTTGGATGTTAGTCTACCACGCCCAGCTCCTCCAGGTCAGGATTTTGACACCCACAAGGAGGAAGCACCCGCTTGTGGCAAGTCCTTCACGCAACCAAAACCGAGGGCACCCCTAGTCCCCTCAAGAAGGGAGCACCTTCCTTTTCCTTGCGCTCAGACGGGTTTCTGCGGGGAATGTGGCAGAGTGAGCGCTGCCACTGAGTCTGTGTGCTTGGAATCCCCCCACCCCCCACCCCCGTAAGAAAAGCCCTCATAAATATGAATGCACATTCCTATAATGCCATTCTTCGGCATTCCATATTCCAGCAAAAATGGCCCCATTTGAACAGGCGAAATAGAGTCCCTTCTCGTCCACACACCAATCTCCACAGTGACTCCATTCATAGCCGCAGGCCCCGTGGAGTCTCAGGCTCGGCACAAGCCTGCCCTCTCCCTCTCTCTCTGAAGGTCACTGCAGCCAGTAGAAAGAAACGGCCCATCCCGGGGGCTGAAGGCAAGGGTGCAAGAGTTATGGTTTCTCCCCTGAAAACGTGAGGGAAGCTCATCGCCCCAGCGGGTCTTCCCCATTGCTTGGAGCCCAGCTCCTTCCAGGATGGTGCCTGGGTCGTGGGCAGGAGTGACATAAGGGCATCCCATGTGTTTGGTTTGGTTTTCATTCCATGTGTATCTGGTGTTCCATTCACACAGGGACCCGAGAT